AGGTGCGGGGGAGCCCGAGCCCATCGATCAGGCTTTTCATCCAAGGCGCCGAGATGGTGGAGTTATGCTCAGGCCCTGCCACATTCGTCGGCAAACATGTTGTCTCCCAGGGCGCATACTCTGGCGGCCAGGTGCCTTCCCAAGTAGTTATCTTGTACGACCCATCTTCCGGCACATCGTAGTTCGAGGAAGGCGTCGGTATGGGTGACAAAGCGGGCGCCTCCACTAAAACAAGTCAAGTAGGCGCACAACCGTTGGAGCAGTAAGAGGCGCCTCCATCGCAAGAATCACAAGCATTCACAAAAAAAAAAAAAAAAAAAAAGCGAGAGTGGCTTACCGGTTTTGCTAGGGCCGCCTGGATTCTGGGAAGAGCCTGCGGCGGCGGCGGCAGCATCAGAGGGGAGAGACATCACGGCGAGAGCAATTGAACGCTGAGAAAGAAGAGAGGCACAGCAGAGAGAGAAACTAGAGTGAGAAGGCAAATTGAGGGCGAATGAAGAACCATGCCGGGAATCGACTTACATTTAAAGAAAACGAGAGCGCCTCGAATATCGTGCCACCTGCCACGTGGCAAAATTCACAACCACCTCGAATATCGCGCTGGTTGTGAAGGGGGGCAGGAGAGAGAGGCGGCTTAGGCGCAACGGCGGCCGGGGAACAGGCAAAGTCGAGGCACCATCGGACAAGGGAAGAAGCAGGGCGCCGTGGGCCAAGGGAGAGCGGCGGCGCCTTTGACAGAGGAGACTCGTGGGTACAACGGCGGCCGGGCAATAGTCGAGCCGAGGCGGGGCGCTTTGTATCGAAGGAGTGGCGGCGCTTTGGGTTCGCCCGAGCAACTAGGGCAAGAGGCGAGGGGATATAGACGAACCGAGGCCGGGCGCTTCTTATCGAAGGCGAATGGTGGCGCTTTGGGTCGCCCGAACGACTAGGGCACGAGACGAGGAACTAATGCGCCCGGGAGTTAAGAGGCGAGGAATCAATTGTTAGCGGTTTTCGGCGCCTTGAAGGAATTTTAAGTACGGGCACAATGCGCCTAGGTGCGAAGGGAAGGCGCTGCTTAATAAGCAGGAAAGCCGAATTCCGTGCGCCCCGAGGAGAGAATGGGAGACACGATGATTGGGGGGCAAACGATTGCCGTGATGAAAGTTGGAAAAGAAAGAGCAAAGGCCTAATAGTTAGGCGCTCAAAGAATCGAAATTTGAGCACCTAACTGGGGGGCAATTGTTGGGGGTATACGAATAAGGAGGCCCCGATGTATGTATGAGGCCCATTAAAGGGCGTGAAGCCCAAGTAGTTCGTGGAAAGGTGAGCCCATTCAAGATGGTGTAGGCCATGATAGGCGCCCACAGGCTTAGATCAGGAGCAAGTTGGGAGTTGCATGCACTAGGCGACTAGGAGTACTCGCACCGTAGGTGCCCGGGTATGCACGTGGGAATTGTGGACCCTCGGAGAGGGCGCCTGGAATCTTCTTCGGAGGAAGCGCCCTGGGTCACCCGCATTAAATGTAGGGCTGACGTGGAAATCCGTACGAGAAGGTCCAGGTAAACAGTAATTGGCTATAAATAGGGAGGTGGGTAAGCATTTACTCAATTTGGCTTCTCTCACTAAAAATTGTGCATTGCAAGCACTTCTCTCAATAAGAAAGTTACTGACTTGAGCGTTGGAGGACTAACGGGCCACAAGGCCCACCTCTGTGAGTGCAGGCTTAATCGTGAGGAAGTCAGCTGGAACGGAAGAAAAGTAGGTCGATCAAGTGGGCATCAACAAATTCTAATACAAAAATTCTCAATTAATAATGACTCTTATACTATATAAAAAATTATTTAATTCTAATGTTTCGAATTATTGAAAGAAATTCAACTATTCTATCTTATATGATTTACCAACTCGAGTAATCCATCCACCAATAGCAATGAAATTGCGTAAATATATATGTATATATGATGTCGCAACTACAATTGAAACCTTTTGGCTTTCTCTACTGTTGGTGCCGCCAAATACAAAGGAACCGACCGACTAGTTTGGTTTGTGGTCGTAAGGCTTTTCCCTCCTCTACCCGCAAAACAATGAAAAGATCATTATTGGCACTTAGTTGCCGACGCCTTGACTGCTTATAATAAGAGGGCCCAGGTGACGTGCCTCACCGGCCACCGCCGACCAACCTACATCCGAGCACCCCGGTTAATATAGTAAACCCATGGTATGAAAATTTGGAGAATTTATTAATAAAATTAATGGCAGGATGCAATGAGTTCTTTTTTTTTTTTTTCACAGGCTAGTGAAGTTCTGTCTGGGGAAGGTTCACACTTCGCGATCTACAGGTTAAAAATCAACAATAATATCAATAAATTAAGTCCGATCCTAAGAGCATCTCCAACAATGCAATCCTTCTTCACTTTCAAGTGTGGTTTCTACATCCGCCTAAGCAATTCTAGCAATTACTTCACTCATCAATTTCATACTAGCTACATCAATGTCATTCCAATGCAATTGCACTTTTGGGTCTCACTTACATTTTAATATCACACAAATAGTTGAGAAAAGAAGAAAGAAAAACAAAAACAAAAACAAACAAATGACCCACTTGCAATTGCATTTCAGATTTTCATGGTGTGCAAATTTTCACCATTTAAAAGTTGTCTTGCATCAACGCCACCCACTTTTTCAATTACACATGGTTGTCCTGCCACCTCAACTTGCAACTCTCTCTATTTACACCATTGGAGATGCTCTAACTTTTAACTTTTATTTTTATGATTTAAAATTGATGGTATCACTGTATGGAAGAAGTTGCCACATGGCAAAATTTGGCTGTTGTCTGGTTGCAGCTCAACGCCACATGGCCTTATTTCATTGGTTTAATTATGTTAATTAGATTTGAATGGAACGGATATGCATGCATTTAACGGCGTTTCAAACAGAGAAGTCGGAAAAACGGGAACTTTTTTCTCCCCAAAGAGGCGAGAATTCTTTTTTAATATTAAAAGAAAGACGGGAACTTGGTGCTAATGGAAATTTAAAGAGACCTATTACCAAAAAGTATGGAAAGAAAGGTTAGTACTTTATCCGTTTAAAATTTTCGTATCCGTATTATTGTCAAGCTGTATAATTTGTTTCTGTTCATTTGACAGCTCGCATACTAAACACGTATAAAACCCATATAACACGTTTAATATACGTATTTAATGAATTAACTTTATTATTTTTATATATTTATTTAATTTTAAATATTATGACTATTAACGTACTATTAAACGTAACATTAACTTAGAGACGAAGTAAAATACCCCTACGTATTTTATACGTAACTTTCCCATATAGTATTTTACTAACTATGGTGAACTTCTGGGTGAGGGTAAGGGTGAGTGTGATATCAATTTATGTTTCTTTACTTTACTTTAATTTTATTTATATTTGTGATATAGTTTTTTTACGGTTAATAGCATTTTGTATTCCTGTACTATGGTAAATTAACAAACATATTTCTCTACTAAATTTCTGGACAAATATACAATTATAATAAATAAACATAACAAGTTTACCCTTCTATCTAATAATCTGGTAAGTGGCCGTTAAAGGGGCAGTGAAACAACTCAATTTCTCTTCATTTACTCATATACACTCCTAATTTCGGTTTTAATTATTTTATTATATCTCAAATCAATTAATTAAAAAAATCAAACCCCTATATTAATTCAAAAACTGTAGACGAGAGATTGTCTGTCTGGTCGCCGTATCAACAGGTTCTCTCTACTCTAGTCGCTAGGAGCAGGCGCCGCCGTCGAGTCGAGGGGCTAATCGCCAGGGGAGACTTGAGAGGAGATACGGTCGAGTGCGTGTGAATTGGTTTAGGGGTTTGATTTTATAATTAATTGATTTGGGACATAATAAAATAATTAAAACCAGGAGTGTTTGAGACTTGGGAGTAAAGGAGTGGCAATTGGGTCATTTCACAATCTTTTTAACTCTAATTATAAGGAAGATTAAACTCATTATTTTTTAATATTGAAAGGGTATATTTGTGTAAAATTTTAGTAGAGAGGTAAGAGGCCATTTCCTTTTGATACAACGTAATGGAAGAAACCCAAGGTATTACTTATTAGCGGGATCAATTTGACATACCCATCATAAAATAGCCTGCATAACACAAACAAGAACCCAGCACTAAGTTCCCGTCTTTCCTGCTTCTCCGTCCCATGTCCGGTCCAAAACCAAAGCTGTTAAATGTCTCCGTCCCGTCCAAATTTAATTAACATCTAATAATAAATTAACATAATTAAACCAATGAGATAAGGCCATGTGGCAACGCTGCTACCCAGACAGCGGCCAAATTCCGCCCCTGTTATAATAAGTGAAAGCACTATATGAGAGCACTTCTCAATGCACTTCACCATTATAAAAGAAAACATAATTAAGACATTGTTTTTGGAAGTTGTGATCGTTCTTTTAAGATTTTTGTTCATACACAATGCATTATTTGTTTACTCGATTTGATATAAACTATCATTTAAATTGAATGATTGAATCATCATCCAATATTTTGCTGAGAATGATTGATATAATTAAGATGATATGATGTTGAATCCATTTTTAATTCGTAACTTGAAAAGACAATCAGAAATATCAAACGTTTTATTTTACGATACATAAAATTGATCGATAGATATAATACTGTACATACATGTGTTCATTGCCAATTTGCTTTCCGCTCCATTTCGCGTTTGAGCGTCACTGCTGACTATTCGAACAATTAATTAAGTTGGCATATTATATGTCTCGACTACATGCATATAATATAACATAAATACCCATCTGTTCCCCTCCTCCCGCCTCGACCACCCACTTCAGCCCCCTCAAATCAAAACACAGAAAAACAGAGAAGCAAACCCAAAAAGCTCTAGCAGATCGAAAATATGGGTTCCATCGCAGAATCAGAAACCCAAAAGCCGAAGCCGCACGCCGTCTGCATCCCTTTCCCGGCGCAGGGCCACCTCAACCCCATGATGAAGCTGGCCAAGCTCCTCCACGTCAAGGGCTTCCACATCACCTTCGTCAACAACGACTACAACCACCGCCGTCTCCTCAAGTCCCGCGGCGCCGCCTCCCTCGACGGCCTCCCGGACTTCCACTTCCGCTCCATCCCCGACGGCCTCCCGATGACCGACGACGACCAGCTCGACTCCACCCAGGACGTCCCTTCCCTCTGCTACTCCACCCCCAGGCACTGCCCCGCGCCCTTCCGCAGCCTCATCGTCGACGAGCTCAACAAGTCGGCCACGTCGCCGCCGGTGACGTGCATAGTCTCCGACGGGATCATGTCGTTCACGGCCGACGTGGCGGAGGAGCTGGGGATCCCGGTGGTGCTGTTCTGGACGCTGAGCGGCTGCGGGTTCTCGGCGTATGCTCATTACAAGGATTTGATGGACAGAGGCATCACGCCGCTCAAAGGTCAGTGTTTTCCTTCCAGGATTGAAAAACCGGCAGTTCCATCAGAAAAATCTTCTCTTGCACAATTTTGACGGTATTTAGTTAGTAATATGGAAAGGTTGATCCTACGACAACATTTTCGTACAATCGTAACTTCCGGTATGGTATTTAAATCCTTGGGTTCTTTCATCAACAAGGGAGGGAAAGGCTTGGCCATATATGGTGGCCGGAATGGGAACTGTGTGGAAGCTTTGAGATGTGGCCGTCCAAGGATCTCCACATATCTTGTTTTTGTTTCCGTTTTTGTCATTTCATATGTTTGTCCCTTTTGCAATGGGATGAATTTTACAATGCTATATAGTATTGGTGCTATAAGTTTTTTCTTTATGGTACAACTTGAAATTGTACCTTTAACGTTATGGTACAACTTCAGATTGTACCTATACTTTTTGTACAAATTCTTTTATAGTACAACTTAAACTTGTACCTTATGTGATGGTACAACTTCAAGTTGTAAAGTTGTACCATAACATAATGATACAAATTTCTTTATGGTACAACCTAAACTTATACATTTAATGTTATGGTACAACTTCAAGTTGTACATTAAAGCACCAATACTATATAGCATAGTAAAAGTGCTCATAGATATCAAAGTTCAAATCAACATAAACGCAAACCATACGTCGTATTACAAATTTACATCGCTCTTATAAAAAAAGCCAATGGTGTTCCAAATTTTGTGACAAGTTGGCAAAACAAAAATTTAACCGTTGGTATTAATTAGTAACCCAAATTGTGTGAGTTGTTACGAAAGCTCGATATTACATGCATCTTCAAAATTTAAATAAGATAGAAAACAAAGGTAATTAAATTCGTATCGACCAAGTAAAAATCTATGACTTCTTTCTTAAAATCTTGATTCCTTTCCAACGAGATTCCATGAGACGAGAATCATCATTCTGAGCATAGACTCCAAACTTGAAGTAGTGAGACTTGCCGCCGTGATCGGGTCCTTTATACACAAGTGATCTGTCGACGTAGACCTTGACCTCACCATCATCCACATTGTGAATCACGTTCAACCTGAACCATCTGTCGTAGATGTCGGGAAGGACTTTGGACCTGTAGATCGCCAGGTTGCCGCCGTAAACTCGAACCATCAGAGTCGAAGCGTGCTCGCTCGCACCGAAGACCTGCATTATGCACACACCAGATGTCCCGCTCGGAACGAAACCATGCCCTTCGAACTGCCACACTCCAGACGAATAATCGTATCCCTGTCAAGTCAATCACAAATTAAGTTCGATCAAAAGTAATGCTGTTTTTGTTTTTGTTTTACGTACGATAAGTGCAATGTTGATGATGATGTATGCATGCATGCTAATTTGGCTAGGCTTACGGTTATATGGACTTCTGTGCGAGGCTTGGTGGGGCTGTGTTGTTTGAATGGCTTGTCGTTGGAGTAAACCTTGAGCGTGTGGACGCCATTGGCAAAGCTGTAACGCTCCTCCTTTCGCAGGTCATACGGCCACTGAACTTTCATATGTGATGCAGTCAGTGGAAGCGCGACGAACCCTCTCGTGGGATCAGCATTTGTACTTCCACTGTCGACTCTTCCTTCAGCTAGAAGTAACAGCCATGAAAACAGCTGAATAGTAGAGATCATAATCGCCTGGAATCTGCTATAAGCTGTTGCTGCTGTACCTTTACAACCAACAATAGAAGCCATTTGATTAGCTAGCAAGGACTCGAATCTGATTTTGGCTGGAACATGCAGCTTGAATAATCAGTCATTTATATATTAGAGGTCTGGATTAGTAGTGTAAAGGGTTTAACTTGATAACAAATTTGGTACCTTGTGTTGTCGCAAGGCAAGCAGCTAGAAGAAGTATATAGTATGCGGTGTCGTAAAGGACTGCTGCTCCTTCATTCGGCTTCTTGACTGCTGAACCGATGCTATATGTTTTTCTTTTCCTTTTTCTTTCCAAGGAAGAGAAAATTTTGAAATAAAAAAGAACATTCTCATCCTACGAAACTTACCAAAACAACACTAATGGAAGCCTGCTACAAAGTCAAAGGAAACTAACGTTAAAATAGGCGATAACACAAGAGCTTTTCTCACCACTCTTATGGACAACTAGGGGCGGATCCACCTAATAGAATTTTTTTGTGAGATCCAAAAATTTCCGGTATAAAATATTCGAATACGGGACATCTGACACACTTATGATAATCGTAACCGACACACCTTCATTATATTACTAGCTGTTGCTCGCCGGGATATTTTTCTTTGTGGTTTATATATATTAAATATTAGGGGTGGCTATACGGTTCGGTCCGGTTAAATTGGACCAAATTGATCCGGTCCGAGTCCGGTCTTTTCGGAAATATAAGGACCAAAGATTGGATTGGATACAGTCCAGTCTTGATCCGGTCCGGTCCCAATTTTATCTTGATTTTAGGTGTTGGGGGGTCTCTTATCCGGTTTTTTACCTCAAATCTAAGCCCGAATATGAAATTGCATTGTTTGCTATCTGGTCCTAGTCCGATCCCGATCCCGATCCGGGTTGTACGATCTGGTTTCGGGTAAATTAATTTTAAGTTACAAATTATTTTGGTTAAATTACTCATCCTTTTGAATTTCTTCTAAATTTTGGTTGACATTTCTCTTACTCAATACAAGTCTTACTTTTTTATTGCACAATTTTTGTCTTTATGTTTGGCAATAAGAGGGTGCAAGTTGAGAGGCAAATTGCAGGAGGGTGCAAATTGGTGGGAGGTGTAAGTGGAGGGGGTAAATTGTTGTTTAAATGAAAAATTAGCGGGGTACAAATAGAGTTAAAAGTAAATATTATATTATTATAAAATAGATTTATCTAATTTATAAAATTTTATCACAAAATAATAAAAGAAAATAATTATATAATTAATATAATTTAATAAAAATATTTATTATATAATAATGCTCAAATAATAATTATTTATAACAACTGTAATAATTATTGGTCGAGCGAACTCGAAGCCCAACTCGTAACTGGTCATGCTACAAAGTTCTGGTGTCTAATATATCTTTAAATTGAATATGGTCAAACTTAGTCAAAAAAGTTTTACAAACACTTCTTATCTCTAATTTTCAATGCAAATTCGAGTCAACCAAGAAATCTCTATTTGACTAGACTAACATTGATAAACTTGCTCTCTGAGTCAAACGGTCAACTCCGAACAATGTCTATATTAATGATAACTATAATTATTATATAATTACTATAATTTCCATAAATTGATAATATTAATTATTATATAAATAAAGAATAAAAATTCATAATTTCCCCACTCCCCCCTCTCTTCCTTCCTTCCCTTGCACCTCAATTTGGGGAGTAAGCTGAAATAGTAATTTTGCATCTGCAGTTTGCACCCTCTACTATTCCAAATTATCCAAACAGGTGCAAATGTGTTGAAAACTGTGTTTACCCCTCACATTTGCATCCTCCTCCAATTTATCCCCTCTTCTCAAACAGAGTGTAAAACATTCAACTGTTGACTAAAGATTGCCATAATCAAAATTTGTCCATAAACGTTATCTTAGATTTAATTTTTATGGCATGACTTACGGTATGATATCCACTTCTTAATTTAATATATTATCTTGATTTCATTAATGCTCTTTTGATGTCATTTTGATTCTTGCGTTTTGTTTATTTTATATAGATAATATTATTGGTAAAGAATGTCTGAGAGAGTTTTAAATAATGATCTCGATAGTATAATTTTAATCCCAAGAATAAGATTTTGTTTCAAAATGAAAATTATGAAAATAAAATCTTAATAGTGAATGACTTAAATTCAAATAATTTTTTGCCAAAAAATTTAAAATCTTGTTATTTAGAAGTAAGAACTTTAAAATTTACGAAGTGGTTGTTTTTACTATAATTCATTTCAAATAAGCATACCTAGCTTATAGCTAAAGAAAACGCAACTGGTTTGTATTTTGATTCTCTACAGTTTGATTGAGTTTATATTTATTGTTGTTTATATTTTCTGCTACTATCTATCCATATTTTGAGCAATAGTAGACGTTTTTTTAATTATTAATAAAAAAGGTATTGGTGAATGTGGAGGATGACGGGAAAATACAAAAGAATTCTACGTATCCATTTTTTTTATAACTTTTCAATATTTCAGCTTCTGTTCAAAAAAGCAATATTCTGGCCTAAATCGGCAGCCCAACAGAATGAATGTCTACCCAAACACTTCCCATTTCCTCAGCGGTAAATAGCAAATCATTCTCATTTAGGTTTAGGCAAGGAAAAGAAAAAGAAAAAGGCATGAAATTAGCAGTCGAGAGAAGAGAAGCTTTGAGATTCCTGGTGAAAAGGAAGCAGCCGAGCCACTGAGTTCATCACACAAAGGTGAGCTGATATTGTTCTTAATAAATCATCGTCAGGGGTTCACCGATGGTGGGTCTGTTTGTCGATCGAATAAGATATTGTGGCTGCTAGGTTAGATCGAAAGCCCAAAAAGACGAAGGGAAAACTCGGGGGATGAGAAAGGGAAGATCGGACGGAGAGCCGAAGCAGAGAGAAATCATGAGTAATCTTGTGTCATTCTTGAGATAGATCGAACATGCAAAAGTTCAAAATCATATTCATCCACATTCCATTAGCCCACTCAAGAAACCATAAACTTATATTTTTTGGGTGAAAAACCTAAGTCTAAACTCTAAGGCATAACCATACATCAAATCTCAAAACAATAAACCATAGGTCATAGAGCAAGTTTCAGTTATAAAACGTACGACATTGATTCTAAAATATTGGTTATTACAAAATCTTGAGTGGGGATGTTGTCCTATTACTTCTTCTTGAAAATCTTGATTCCTTTCCAACGAGACTCCATGAGGTGAGAATCGTCATCCTGAGCATAAACTCCAAACTTGAAGTAGTGAGACTTGCCGCCGTGATCGAGTCCTTTGTACACGAGAGATCTGTCAATGTAGACCATAACTTTGCCAGCATCTACATTGTGAATGACGTTTAACCTAAACCATTTGTTATGAATGTTGGGAAGGATTTTGGATCTGTAGACGGCTAGATTATCGCCATAGACTCGAAGCATTAGAGTTGTAGCGTGCCCACTTGCTCCAAATACTTGCATTATGCAGACACCAGAGGTGCCGCCTGGGACGAACCCTTGCCCTTCGAATTGCCACACTCCAGAGGAGTAATCGTATCCCTGTCCACCAAAAATTTGGAAAGGATCGATTACAACAATCCGAGAAAAATTATGAAAAATGCCCAACTTCTAAGACTCTAATAATAAATACAACTCTGTCAAATTATATAATAATACTCATAATATGCATACTGTAAGAGATTATTAATAGGTACGTTCCAAGACATATAAATACGTATATGTATGATGCCAACTTCTATTTGTATCTAGGGTAAATCTAGACTACTGAATACCATTTGTAAGAAATGCTATCTAGATTTCGATTTAATTAAATTTTAAGACATGATACTATATCATCTTTAATGAGTGAATCCTAAGTCCTAATTTTCTAAAGTGCACACCTAAACGCGAAAAATATGTTGTGCCTACCCATAGAATTCCCATATAAATCATTAGGATTCATCAAGATAAATATGAATTTTTTATTTAATTTGATACACCATTCCAATTGAATTAACGATATATTATGATCAAATACAGCATGCTCACAGAGGTTGGAAATACTCATAAATAGAATGTAATCCATAAAATGATGATGAGGCACTGAAAATCGAAATGGAAATTCGTTGTTTCATGTATATGCATGCATGCAAGGTTTGGTTAGCTGGCTTACAGCGATACGGACTTCGGTGCGAGGCCTGGTGTGGCTTTCCTTAGAGTGTGGCTTGTCGTTGGAGTAAACCTTGAGCGTGTGGACGCCATTCTCAAAGCTGTAACGCTCCCCCTTTCGCAGGTCATACGGCCACTGAACCTTCATATGCGATGCGGTCAGTGGCAGCGCCACGAACCCTCTCGTCGGATCCCCCGCATTTCCACCTCCTTCAGCCAGCAGCAACAGCCACGAGAAGAACAGCACAAGAGTAACAGCGGCGAAAGTAGTGGAAGCCATTTAATAACTGGAGGTACTGTATATTGACAATTACTTTGTACTGTTGAATGATCAGTCATCTATATATAGAGAGAGTTTGGATGGTGAACTCTTGGTTTAGTTATTGGTTGAGATGATTTGCTATACCTTGTGTTGTCGCAAGGCATGGAGCTAGAAGGAGGGAGATGGAATGTGGAGTCGTAGAGGACTGCTGTTCCTTCATTCGGATTCTTGACTGCTGAAATGATTTATATATGTCTACATACAGCCTATAAAATTACAAATAGAATCTTTGAAGCCGTCTGATTGCATGTGTATAAGTACGTGTGTGTATATATATGTTGGATGAATTGTGGAATTAGTTTAAGATGTACGTTTGTGATACTGTCTCGCAATGCTCTTGGTTTGTGTGGAAAATTAGAGATTTCTGAAAAAGTATTTTCTTCTATCTGTATCTGCTCTCAAATTCGTATTTATATGGTATGAGAGGTCTGTTATGTATAGGAGGAAAACTTCCTCAACTTTCCTTTTTTTATTGGGGATGAGTCATATATAAATCACACATCGTTAAAATGAGAATTACTCTTATTAACTAGCATGTGTCCGGCCCATTGGCCGGAATATTCGATTTTATATATGATTTAATTAACTGTGGCAAATTAAGTTTTTCCAACAATTTTTCAATACAATGTTTTATTCATCAAATTTTCCAAAGTCTGGCCATAGTATGAGCATGTTTATCACGATATTCATACCATCAATGAAATTCTTTTGCATGTGATTTATGTCATTAAATTCTTATAACTTTTGCGAAAAGGAAAAATTACATAGTTTCTCATAATCTCAATCTGTATCATTTGCTCTCCTTAAATCCAAAAATCATAAGTACGTTTTGAACGAATACATGAATATAGGCTACCTAACAAAGAATTTGAGTACGAAACTCAAATTTGTGTGTTCTTCCCTATTTTTTCCAAAAAGAAAAAAATATTTCCTCGTGTAATGATTTATGTGACATTAGTTTAGGCTCAATTAATTCAACGTGGACAAAAAAAAAATACCATACGCATTCATTTCTTTGATTTTTACGTGCTTTCATTTTTTAAACTTTTAGAATTAACCCTTAATCATTAAATCACAAAAAATTAGCTTGCTAATGTTTTGATCATATAAAAATACGTCTCACCAAAATAAAAATCATATAAAAATACTCTATTACTAAATTATTCTCTCAATGCTAAAATCAAAAGGATGTATTGTATTTGTACCCGAATTCTGACTCTATAAATGGCTAAACAGATTGTTGTCAACGCATTTAGAATTATTGAAAGTCAATGAAGATTATACACATTATATCTGAACCGAGAATATGACCCAATTCAAAAACAAGGTGGTCTTTACTAAGAATATAGCTAAATTAAAAATGAACTAAATATAAATTAAGACATAAATAAAAGTGATTATCAGCACTATTCTTGTATGTTTAATTTTGTATTATTGGTATTATAGTTTATAATTAGCTATATGATCCATAACCGGACTCTGTACTCGATAAGCATTTTGGAGTTTCTACCACACCATCATGTTAATTATATACTAACATCACACCAATTTATTTTATTTTATTAAAAATCTTATTTTGTAGCTGCATTTTCATAACAATTTGTCCATGAGAAGTAGTTTACTGAATGCTTAAAAAAACTCAAACAATTCAATACAATAACCATTAATGTGGAATTCATAATAAAAAGCACATTAATAAAGTTTACAGATGGATCATAAAAAATCATAATTAAATAGTAATCCAAAAAAATAAAGGAAAGTGTTGCGCAAAAAAATATAATATATTTAATTTACATCTTTTTTTATTTTCATTTTTGAGTTATAATCAAATGATATTCCAAAAATTATAGGTAAGCGTTGCATAAAAATATAAAAATATTTTTTAATTTGAAACATGTTTCATATTATTTATTCCCCCCTAACCTCTTCTCTCTCCCAGCTCTTTGTATACACAATCGAAAATTATTTATTTTCCTATTTGATTTTTAACGGACGATTTCTCTATCGTTTTAAGTTGAAATTTAATTTTTTTTTGCACAGATAAATCGGATTAATTGTGCTCTTTAAAATGATATCCACTTTGATATATTTTTAGAACAAAAAAAATTGAGTCATTTTTTATTATTATTTAATATCATATGCTATGCTCCTATTTAATACATATGGCAAGAAAGTGTACCATGATGTTATGAAAAAAATCTCAAAATATATTGAAAATTTGATCTCAATTTGTAGAGCACAACGAACTCGTTCCATTTGAGAAAAATAATTGAAACTCTAGTTAGAACGAATAAGATAAGAGTCGATTAAGAAAATTAGGGAAAATAAAATGTCTTTAATTCACAACCCTTAAATCTGGATTTTCTGAGCCATAATTATATCTAAATGGTTGCTGACCGTATCGCAAGTCCTTTTTTGTAATTTTTAATCAAATTTTTGGTAGTTAGTAAAGACTCTTTTCTTTCATGATGATTTAGGATTTTGAGACTAATTTTAACTTTAAAAAACATTCATCCATTTTCAACAACTTTACTAACTATATATTTGCTAAAACTATTAATACACTTTATGATTATCATCTTAAAGTGATATGGTACGGTTTTATACAAGCTTTTGACCTATTGAGAACCTGTCGTAGTCTATCATTTTGAACAAATTTATCACTACTAGGCACTAGCTAGTTACGTATGGTAATAAACTAAATTTACTGTCGGATCCCTCACGTTAATAATTTTGATCATTTAATTAATGATTCTTGTACATGAGCGGTAGAAAGATCCACTGTTTTGAATCGTCACGTAATTTTATTTTAATACGTAATTTTACTATTTATAGTCCTGCCAAACTGTAATTAGTAAAGTATATTGTTGATTAAGGTGCGTATGAAGCAAAATTTGATCTCATCTTTTAAAAAAAGCAAATGGATCTCATAGGCGGCTTTTAATTGCGTATATTTCTGCTCGATCGGTATTAAGGAATAAGGAGAGCTGGCTGTAGCATATTTAAGTTAGTTGGACCATATCGATGAAAATTGTAACTATATACCGGTAAGTAACTATCGAGATCGACATAGAAACTTAGGTGGTTTCACTTGAACGAGACTAGTCCATAGTCGAAACTATTGTTTCTCTTATTTAATTTAACTTCAGCGAATATCATTGACACATAGGCATGGTTACGTTGTCATGTCGGTGGCATGCCAACCGGTTGAACCTTGTTCAACTGGTGTTGGGCATGAAACAAGCATGAACACTACTTGTATGACCCGTATGATCGATTTACGAACTCTTAGTAAAATGACGTCGTTTTATTGAATTTAATTAATCAAAATTGATTTTATTATATATTTTATGAATATAAATGTTAAAATTTTATATAATTTGTTGAATTTGGGTATAAACGTTTAAGTATTGATGTTTATTTAAATATGCATATTATTATTTTATTTGGAATGTCGAATTTTATTAACCCGGCATGAACATGCACAAATCGGTTGTACCACTGGTCGTACCATTCCACTCAATACACCTGCAAAACGATATAAACTGATTTGACAACCTTCCACACGAGTACAGGTAGTCCATTGGTTGGGGGGCTAAGATGTAAGATCAGGTGACTAGTGGGGTCCCTTAGTCACATGACTAAGTTAATCTCAACCATTGAACCTCATTTAAATCTTATGGCTCCAATTGATATCTTTTAATGAAGGATAGTAAAGTAATAACATTATTTAATTATTTAGCAATTAAAAAATAAAAACAAGTGGCCAACGCTTTTTGGGAACTTCCCTGTCGTTGCTACCGACGCTATTATTCTTCCCTGCCACGCGAATTTCCTGGAACATTTTCTTCCACAAGAGAGAGAGAGAGAGAGAGAGAGAGAGAGAGAGTTCCGATCAACTTTACCGACGACGGCGGAGGAGACTTTTCGACGACCAGAGACGGCAGGGAGGAAGATTTTCCGGCGATAGTGTTGGATTTCGTGATGTTTGTCGACCTATGTTGTAATATTTATAAGTTCAGTTTGTAATGTTTATATCAATTTGGTTTGTATTGTTTATTATTCTTGTATATTATTTTTGTAATGTTTATATGAATATTCTGTAAAGTTAGTATGCTTTGTATTATTTGTCGGGTTCTTTTGTAATGTTTGTAAGTTTTGTTACTTTGTAATTTCTAGATTTATTTTGTTATGTTTGTAAGCTTTGTTATTTTTGTTCACCATGTTTGTCATTTTTGTCACCCATGTTTGTAATGATTTATATGCTTAAAAAACAACCTAGTTGACTTTTGGATGAAACTCCTCTACATAGAAATGAAGCCTCCAAAGTCAACACATATGTTTTTCCATTTTGTATGGTTTGTCGGTCTAGTTTGTCATTTTTGTCCACCATGTTTGTAATGTTTGTATGTAAAAAAAAAAACAATCGGGTTGACTTTGGGATGAAACCCCTCTATATAGGGATGAAGCCTCCAAAGTCAACCCGGTTGTTTTTTTCATTTTGTATGGTTTGTATTGTTTGTCAGTCTATTTACCATCCTTTTGCTTCAATTGTGGACGGGTAGGGCACTTCATCAGTGAATGTACCTTTTGAAACCCCCAGCTGGCAAGGAGAAATTTGGCCCTCACATGTCCACCAAAAAGCTGAGTATTCGTCTATATGACTCGGATGATGATGCTCAACAGTTCCGTGGCAAATCAAAATCTGTTTGGGTCAATACCGCGCGGGGAGAACGCATAGATGGCCATGTGCAAAATCGGCCCGAAGGGGGGGGGGGGTCACTCAACTGGGCCTTGAAGGCCGCCAGACTGATCCACAGGAGAATGTGAGCCCAACGCCTGCTGCAGGGCGACCGGCCAACAACCATAAACCACGAAGCCCGCGAGGCTTCTTTGTGAGGCGGTCGCCGCGGGCTCGGCCTGATCGACAGCGGTCTCCCTTGCCCGGCCGAACTGGG